ATCGCTCTTTGCTAGGGATTTCAGCTGCTGAGAGAAGGAAAGCCCTTCCCTCCCCCATCCATCCTCTCTGTCTCTCAGCAGGAGGAACAACTCTTCCTCAGTCCCTCTTCACTCACAGGCACATCTGCCCTTCCGCAGCATCTGTCACTCTAGTGTCTCAATGCACTTGACAAACATCAGTGCGGCCTCCCAGCTCCCTGGGGCGAAGGGTAAATACGAGAGACGGGCAAGCACAAGTGCTGTAATTTTAACCTACTCAAATATCACGAACTTGAAAATTTGGCCCTTTCCATAAAACAACTGAGTTAATGGCCTGTAGGGGAGGAACTGTGAGGGGAAGAGCAGAAAGACAGAGAAGAAATGTCTAATGACTGAATGAATGGTCTATACAGAATACCCGGATAGTCACTGTGCCAGGCTAGAGGTTAGGGGTTTCTTCTGTCCCTAACACATTGCACATGCTGCCTTCTGTGCATGAAATCATTGGAAAACACATGGAAATACCCTGGGAATAAGATTCCATCGGGGGAAAGATTCCCAAACTCAGACTCGTTTGTGAACCCTAACAAGGTGTCTGTCTGTAGTTTGCAAACCTTTGAACTCCATGAAGCTCACCCATCCCTAAAACCCATCACCCCCACCTCACAGATGGGAGAGTGAGTCATGGAGGGGTTTTGATTCATTCGGGGTCCTGCAATGAGTCAACGGCAAAGCTGGGAACAGAACCAAGGAGCCCTTGCTCTCAACCACCTGCTTTAACCACTAGACAACACTCCCGCTGTCCAACTGGTTCCATTTTATATACACATTTTAAGTTGTTTCATTTTTAAACCAGAAACTCACCTCATTTCTTGTGGGTTTGCCTCTGTCCTTTGTCTAATGAAGTTTTCTCCGAGGCATCACTCGGGCAGTAATGTGAAACCCCAAGAAATGATAGAAACTCACCAGCACATATCCAGGATATTTATTTAGTTTCTTTCTTTTGATTTATTCTGAAAGCAGCCATTCCAAGCATTGTGTTCAACACATAAAAACACCCAACCCTGAACAGTCAATATTGCCTAGTTATTCTCCTCTTCCAGGTCCCCCTCGGGTTCCTCAGTTGAAGGCAACAAAAACACGGGCTAAACACTTCTTTGCAGCGCATTCAAACTGAAAAACACCAGAATGTCCAACATTTAAAAAAAGATTCACTTCAGTGTTACCCAGGAAATTGTAAAAACTGATGCTATGAATTGGTTCCGAGGCTCTGCTTCCGTTCAGACTTTCCTCTGGGGTCAGGGTTTGTTCTGAACAGACCCGCGTGGACTGTCCTCTCCATTCTATCCCCCAGGGAAAGACATAGGGGAAATCTACCAGCTATCAACCGAATGGTGTCATCCATGCTGCACAAATTTACTCTCAAATTTGCTCACGGCACAGAACAGGGCTGCTGGTTCTACGGCTGCCTCAGAAGTAAGGACACACGTGTCTCCCAACCCACAAGGTAACTGCCCCAGCAGACCCCGCCCGGTGTAAGACCCATGGGTGATATGCTAATCGCCAGGGCTGTTAACACGGGGAAGGGAGTGCACGGAGCAGACAGGACACTACTGGGTTTGTTTGGGGGTTCATTTTTTTGTTGAAGGGTCGGGGTATTATGTGGGACCACCTAGATCCCACCAAGATGGGAGTTTTAGACTCACAAAAGTGACGGTCATGTTGGAAAATGACCCTGGTTCCCACCAAAGACAGGGACTGACACTGCTTGAACGCACTGCTCTTGTCTCAGCTCCAGTTTACTCAGAGCAGGTGGGGCCAATCCAGCCAATCAAAGAGGGCTGGGCTACAGCTGGGCCTATAAAGGGCTGACAGTGGGTAATGAGCTCAGACAGGCTGGACTTTAGGGGAGGGAAAGTCACTGTGGTGTAGAGCTAGTGCCTGTGATGGGTCCCTGGAGCAGGGGGCCTGGGCTCAGAGAAGCGGCTCTGGGGCAGCTGCTCCTGGAAGGCAGCAGAGCTGAGTGAACTGAGGAAGCTGCTAGGAACAGGAGAGTCAGAGACCCTGGCAGGGGGCCCTGAAGCCTGAGGCTAGGGAATGAGTTAAAAGACTGTTTTTCTGTTTGTTTGCTAACTTCTGCTAAGGAAAATAACCCTCCTTGCCAAGGGCTGGGTGTGGCAGCGCCTGCTTTGGAGTGTGGGAAGTAGCCTGGCCTGATGACAGGTTCCCTGGGGGTAAAGGAGAGAATTGTGTCCCTGGGGCTCCTGTATTTGACAGGGATTCTAAAGAAGGAGCAAATGAAAGTTTGCCAAGAACGTCCCTGGGAGCCCAGGCGCTAGGTGGTGCCTCAGCACTAGAGTGTGGAATTCCTGCTGCACTTTTCTTTGCCAGGGTGGGAGTCTGACATGTATCCCAGATAAAGTTCCTGTTCCCTGCTGGGTATGGACATGGAGCCATCTGGTGCAGGCTGCATGCTGCCTCCCCTAACCCTGCCACTAGTGACTTTTACAATGCAAAATGTCTCTTCCTGCAAACCTCTGATACCAATGGATAGCCTCTTGAATCTGGCCACAGCTGGTTGGTTTGTTGGTCTCTTTCCTCTGTTTGGAGATACCCTGTTTATCAACCGCTCCTGCCATGTCTGGTTTAAACACCTTATAGTCACAGGCTTTAAAGCATAATCTTGGTGAGTGTTCATAATAGATAAGTCTATGTCTCATTTCTTTCAATGGGACCAGGATTTGACCCCTGCAATGCAGTGCTCCTGTAGCAATGAGATTCTGTTATAATCCTAAAGGAAACGTTCCAAAATCCAGTTCCCAGATCCATGCTGTGAGAGGAGGTAGTTTGTGTCTATTAAATACCAGCTCATTCTTCAGTGAAACTCAGAGCCTGCGGAGCAGGGTGTTAGATCCCAGAGCCCAGGCATTGCACACACAAGCAGAGCCAGGGTAGGAAA